CATTAGTTAGGAGAACATTCTGTAACCCAGCTTTAATTGAAGAAGATTGGAAAGCCTACAAGGTGCCAAAGTATGGATTTCTTAAGAGACTGATGAAGATTGATTAAGAATGAGTAATTAAACATGTTGTAGTGGCATGCATTGTCTCTTTATCATACGCGGTAGAATATCAGTCTACACAACGCGGCTCGACTTCATATCAGTGATTGATTGATCGGAGAGGATGCAATATATTAGACCTGGATGTGAGCTCAACTTAGATAAAGAAATTAAGTTGCTAACCAAATATTGCATTTCTGAAGAAGAGCCTTTTCTGCTTGCTTTAGAAAAAAGTAAACATTTGCAAAAGTCTGGCGGTTGTTTTTGTGCTTCTCTTTTGTGCGCTTTAGTTGCATAATTCGTTATGCTATTTAAATATAAATTCTTAAAATAATACTCATTTAAAACTAACTGATCTAATCCGAACTATGACACACGGGTATGAGGAAAAGTAGCGTGATTCACTAGAATTAGTTTGCTTTTTATTTCTACTGCGTATAAAGAAATAATAGGCTACTTCTGCTCCAGTGTTTTCAAGCATGATTAGAATCAGTGTGGCAACGCTTAACAAGCCAGCGCGCGCCAGTGCATGCAGCCTCGCGCGGTGTGCACCGGATTCTCCAGAAGACGCGGTTTTGACGCGGTCCTCGGTGTGTGTGTTCACTCTCTTGTCTGATTTGAGGTTTAACGCGTCCTTGAAAAGGCATGTCAACATTGTGCAGTGAGCTCATTCTGTTAGCAGAGGAAGTGACCATTAACACGAGCCTCTCTCAGCCGAGCTTTTAGGAAATTAAAGGCATTATTATCAGTGGAAAAGGATCAGTGGCATTAAGGAAAACATCAGTTACCACAGACCTTCTCCTTCGTATCATCTAAATACACCTAAATGCACCCATGCAGATAAAAACAGACACTTAATGTGGCAAACCGAGATAAGGAATATATTTTAAAGTTTTCCTTTCTCTCTCCTTCATCCTAAAGGTATAGCGTTGGATATAATGGCGTGCTTTGGAAATGTGCTGGAGCATTAAAAAGAGCCAATGGAAGATTTAGTGCATTGTCAAACAGCTTATATAGACATATTGACGTCGTGCATAATATATGGAAAGAGAAAAGGCAAGAGTTTAGTTTTTAGTACAGGATTCGGCATGCATTGAAATTTAGCTCGGCTAATTTAATCGGGGAAAGCCCCGTTAGATATGATTAAGAAAAAAAAATAAAGTCAGTCGTTTATTGTGTCACCTGTCCAGCGTTCTTAATCGGTGAGTGTGACAGGCTCACTGACAGGAGGGCAAAATCTGCAAAACAGCTGCTAAATGTGACACGCACCATCCAGATACCGAAACTGCAGTAGGCTAATTTGCATTATGTATTCATTCCAGTGGTAATTTATTTGTAAATATTGTTTATCACTGTACCTGTGTTCAACGAGCTCCTTCAAGGTTTTTTTTTTTCGATTAACAATTAACCTACCAATGTCCACGTCACATGTTAATTACAAAAACAATTTAAATTACAATGTGCAATGAAAATATTATTATTATTACTAGTAATACAATTACTATTTATTAGTAGTATTACTCATTACTTACAAATATGCATAGGAACACAGTAATTTAAGTAAGTCTATATTTTTTATCCCTATAGGAACGTAATGTAGAATTCACTCTTGGCCTACCCGACATACTGTATATACTGTACTATACAGAAGTATATATGTTATATTCACTGTCGATCTAATGGCAGGCCCGGCACGAGGTTCCCCCAAAGTTCCCATCGCACTAAAATCCAGCATTTAGTAACATGTGATTTTGCATTTAGAATGTAATTAACACTCTTTCTCGATTTAGCAGCGTGCATGGCAGAACAGATTAAGTGTCTGTAAATCATAATAATATAAGAACAGGGACCTGGTCGCTAGTTTTCCTTTCATTAGATCTGAAAAGACAGAAGCAGCAGGATGAAACTCAATCAGAGTAAGTAACTCTTTCAGGCTCTGCTATCACAAGCCCGCTTGGTTAATCAGTCCCTCTAGACATGATAATAGCCAGCTTTGTGAGTCTATAAAAGGCTTCATGGCAGGGCTGATGTGCTGCAGGGTTAGTTAGATATGCGAGGGATTTTAATTGTGTGTCTTTATGTTGTGAACAGTCCCATTTTATGTTTTTGGGCTGATCGTAAGCATTGCATAAATTCGCTCTGTTATTTATTTAGGTTAAAAATCTTTAGCAAACTATTTTGCATTACATATAAATAATAATCCCTGGTTTTATCTAAAAGGTTAATAGGCCCATATTTTTTCAGCACATTGGATATTGTCGGGTTGTTATATTGCTTCTCGTGAATGTGAATAAGTATTCCGCATTTTTTTAACTAAGTCTTTTCAGACAATGTAAGTAATGTGTGTAATTCTGTCTTATCAAGCGTCCCATCTTCCTTTGCCAAACAACCTTTGTGTTTGTTGTGACAGAATTATTGCAGTATAATATCTCACATTACAAAGTGCAGCGGTGACTGTATAACACACATACTCTTTTGATGTTTACACCGATGGATTATGATTAAACATACAAAACATTTAAATGTTAAGTGCAATTTAAGGCAAAAAGTTGTCTTTTTATTGTCATAAGGTTATGTATAGGTTGCTATGGCTTTACACTGATTGATCAGGCAGTTCGTGCATCAATTCAGAGGACGAGCTGAGCAAAAATATAGAAAACGAAAAAAGCTATTTAAAGGTACAGAATTTTCAAGTAATTATACTGATTTAATAACGTGAAATGAGCTTCATATAAAGAGTAAATGTCACATAATTGTTATTATAGTGTATTGTAAATGAGCTCAACCTTCATAATTACTGTCGTCAGTGTGCAGTTCAGCCCGACTCCGTGATACTAAATTCCAATCTTAAAAAGTAAATGTAGCTGTTGCAACATTTTAGGTTACCCGATGAAACATTTGATAATTAAGTTATTGTTATAATATTGTAACTTTTAAAAGGTGTTCCAAATGCTTCAATGTTTAAAAAAAACTGTAAAATCAGTTTTATTTGAAAGAGCAATTTTTACATCAATATAGTGTCGCCGTTGTTGTTGTTGTAGTTATACTTTTATTACATTTCCATTATGTTTATGCATTATGAATAGTACCGTGAAAGCAATACATAAACATAGTAACACTAGCTAAAAGTAAACAACCACTAGCTTATTATAAACCCACTACACTTTGAAACGTAAGAATATGCCTATTGAGAGCATTAGTTAGGAGAACATTCTGTAACCCAGCTTTAATTGAAGAAGATTGGAAAGCCTACAAGGTGCCAAAGTATGGATTTCTTAAGAGACTGATGAAGATTGATTAAGAATGAGTAATTAAACATGTTGTAGTGGCATGCATTGTCTCTTTATCATACGCGGTAGAATATCAGTCTACACAACGCGGCTCGACTTCATATCAGTGATTGATTGATCGGAGAGGATGCAATATATTAGACCTGGATGTGAGCTCAACTTAGATAAAGAAATTAAGTTGCTAACCAAATATTGCATTTCTGAAGAAGAGCCTTTTCTGCTTGCTTTAGAAAAAAGTAAACATTTGCAAAAGTCTGGCGGTTGTTTTTGTGCTTCTCTTTTGTGCGCTTTAGTTGCATAATTCGTTATGCTATTTAAATATAAATTCTTAAAATAATACTCATTTAAAACTAACTGATCTAATCCGAACTATGACACACGGGTATGAGGAAAAGTAGCGTGATTCACTAGAATTAGTTTGCTTTTTATTTCTACTGCGTATAAAGAAATAATAGGCTACTTCTGCTCCAGTGTTTTCAAGCATGATTAGAATCAGTGTGGCAACGCTTAACAAGCCAGCGCGCGCCAGTGCATGCAGCCTCGCGCGGTGTGCACCGGATTCTCCAGAAGACGCGGTTTTGACGCGGTCCTCGGTGTGTGTGTTCACTCTCTTGTCTGATTTGAGGTTTAACGCGTCCTTGAAAAGGCATGTCAACATTGTGCAGTGAGCTCATTCTGTTAGCAGAGGAAGTGACCATTAACACGAGCCTCTCTCAGCCGAGCTTTTAGGAAATTAAAGGCATTATTATCAGTGGAAAAGGATCAGTGGCATTAAGGAAAACATCAGTTACCACAGACCTTCTCCTTCGTATCATCTAAATACACCTAAATGCACCCACGCAGATAAAAACAGACACTTAATGTGGCAAACCGAGATAAGGAATATATTTTAAAGTTTTCCTTTCTCTCTCCTTCATCCTAAAGGTATAGCGTTGGATATAATGGCGTGCTTTGAAAATGTGCTGGAGCATTAAAAAGAGCCAATGGAAGATTTAGTGCATTGTCAAACAGCTTATATAGACATATTGACGTCGTGCATAATATATGGAAAGAGAAAAGGCAAGAGTTTAGTTTTTAGTACAGGATTCGGCATGCATTGAAATTTAGCTCGGCTAATTTAATCGGGGAAAGCCCCGTTAGATATGATTGAACGATTGTTTAAAATAGTATAATATTATTTAATGAAACTGTAAATTCAAAGTAAATTTTCGATTATGTAGCCTACTTACGCTTTTTTGCTTAAAATAATCAAGCTGCAGCCCACGCTGATTCGACAAATTATTTTAGAAATTCTTTCTTTTGAGGTTTATTCAAACATTACCATAAACATATGCACAATTTCAATCAACACGGGTACAACATAAAGATATAGCTTTGTTATTTAGTCTACACATTCATATAATTGTTACAACACATTTTTTTGCACTCGAAGTAAGCATGCGGTAAATCTATCGACAAAGAAACAACGACGTGGAAAGACTCCAGGTTATCGATGAGAACCAACCCTGAACACAAGAGAACGCGACACACAAACACGAGGCCTACACTGCATTACCACGACACGCTGCGCTAATTACACGCTTGTGTTCTGACCAACCATTGTTCCCACTTGGAGCACTGCATCATTTTTACATTTTGTTCCACGTTTATATTTATGTACAATGTATGAGTTTAACTTGTCTTCAAAACGTTGAAATCCAAACAATGGATTTAAACTGTTGTGCAAGTTTAGGTAAGCACAGACGATCCGCATATTCCACTGCAAATCCAGTACGGTTGTTATTTCTCCCGGTGTCCGTTCACCGGAGGTTAGCTCGTCAGCTGTTGTACTGGCACGCGTTTAGACTAGAGCCGGGACTCTGCAACCCGCTATATCCGAAAGATGGATGCTGCTTGGATTTCAGTCTTAAGGAGTTGCAAGTGTCCCTGTAGACGCTGTAAGGAGATCCCGGAGGCCCGTAGGGGCACGCTGACGAGCTCATGGCCGGATTGATCGCGGAGCTCCCGATACCGTTCAGGTTACCGATGTTGCTCAGGCCGGTGGTCGGCATGCCAGGCACGGCGGAGTGTCCCATCCCAGACGCCATGCTCATGGAGGAGATCGAGGTCGGGGCTGAGAACATGGACTGGGACGTGAGGGGACTCATGGAATTAAAGAAGGTGAAGTTCTTGGTGGACAGCGGGGTTGGGGCCAGGCCTTTGTTGGTCCAGTTGTTGTAGGTGTACGCGGGGTAGACTTCATCATACGGCTGCATTAGTCCGCTGAACTGGGGCAGGTAACTGTTCTTACACAAATCCATTTGCTGGTTGCGCTCCCTTTTTCTCCATTTCGCCCTCCGATTCTTGAACCAAACCTGTGGAAGAGGACGCGTTATTCACTCAAGCGCAACAAATGCTATTATAGACCAAAACGTTGACTCAAAGCAATAGTCCTTAATTTAACTTAACTTAAACTTAATGCTTAACTTATGCTTAAATTTTTTTTTTGAGCTTTCAAACGGACGCACACAGTGCTTACGGCTGTATAATTTCTAATATCCAAGACATAAGTTAAAGGCCTATCCAGAGGAACTTTCGCCCGTGTTTTAAACTCAGGCCTAGTTCACTGTTGTTTACATGGGTAACATTAATTTCTATTAGGATCATTTAGATCAGTCGTGGGCTCTGTTTCTCACCTGGTTGCCCGTTGATGGCAACATTTCCCAAAGTTGCCCGGCAAAATTGCTCAGAAAGTTGCCCCATGTATAATTAGACTTACTCTTACCACTATCGTCCAAACAATGACATAGCTAGCTACTATTTGGAAACACAACGTAAAATGTCCAATGATGAGAAATCTAATATGGGCTTATTGTGACAGTGTCATTGTCAGTCAGAAAACATCTCGCTTTCACGTCTGATTGTTCTGCACGGCTTTCTTCAGGTTAGTGGCGCCTGCTGGTGAATACAATGCCGCCTGAGAGCCGCCTGAGAGCCGCCTTACTGACGGCGAATGATCCGCGGCCCTGAACGAAAAATATCAGACTCAGAAACGCACCATTTCTAAATGTTTACGACACAGTTTCAGTCCCCGGCTTTCTCAAATTATTTGTTAGAAAATTCCACAGTTCACACACACACACACACACACACACACACACACACACACACACACACACACACACACAAAGAAACAGAAGGTTTATGTTTTTACTGTTGTGACACATCATGACCATAGCAACCTTTTTCCTGCTTTGGCAGTAGCATCTGGCCTATTTTATATAAATACTTTATTATTATTATTGTTATCATTATTATCATTAGCCTATTGTAATTCACGGATCTGCCAGACTGTATTTTCTTACACAGACAATTAACAGGAATGCCTGCTGGGATCTGACAGTATAATGCACGCTTTTTCTTTTTTTAGATATGAATTGACCCATATCTGAGGTATATTTAGTTTATTAGATTTTATTGTCATTCGTTGCTTTAGTTTTGGTTCAGTGCTTGCGATATTCTCGAAACGAATTATCCCGAAGCTACTGAATCTTTTAAAGCGAAACAGTTGCACAAAACACTTCCTTTACATTTAAATAATCTTCCCAATCAATATACAAAAACAGCATCATCGACGAAGACCTAAAGATCTGTTTCGTTAGTTTGCAGATTAATTATATTAATATACAATCTGTAACAGAAAACTATAGATTTCTTTAATGACAATTCGCGATAATTGTTTAAATGGGAGAAAATGTAATATCGGTGTCCTCGATATTTCAAGAAATTGACATTTTAATTGTATTGTCTTCATTTATAGGTTAGACTAATAGTTTAATTAAAGCAAATAAAATCGATTATGTGTGTCTTTTTTGCTTTATGCATTGCTTAAACACCAACAAACGCACTGATCAAGAGTGTAATCACAGTTAAGAGGTCCATCTGACAGGAGATGTTTTGGGATGAGAATGTAATATATTTGCATATTTCAGCTCTATTATCGTTCTCAGTGAATGGCTGTTTTCTGCATTCACGAATTACAAACTACAGCAAAACAAAGGTGTTTCAAGAGAAGAGCTGATCGCAAAGCCAAATAAAGCACACGACTCAATCCGCAGACACATGCAACCACAGTTGACTGACTTCTTCACTAAAAAACCCGGATATTATTTGACAAATAAATAAATAACAACAATAATAATAATGTAAATATTTTAAGGAAGCCCGTGCACTGAAGAAAAATGAAATTGGCAACATCAATAAACTGGTTTTATTCAAGTCTAAAATATAATTTAACATCACTGAATCAACCTATATAGCAACAAAACCCATTTTATGGGTTAAATCATGTAGGCTATAAATTGATCTTTAAGGTCACAATTACAGGTTACCACTTTTTAGGAGGCTTTAAAGAAGCCTCTGAATAATTGTTGGATGTGTGGATGTTATTATCAGTTTTTACGACTATGCAGCAGCTTTGTTGGAAAGAAATAGACTATTATTACTATTATTATTAGCCTGTTATTATAGAGAGATGCATTGATGAGGAGGCGCCGCATGCGAATTTTAAAGACAACTGAATAATAATTCGCAATCTATTTATAGCAATATACCCGCCAGAGGGTTAAGCATTTTGAACAGGCCTACTATACGGAAATCTCCAGGTTTGTTTAAGTGGTGATCACTTCTTTCGTGAATTACGAATGATTTCCGCTCGCCGGATCTGCATCGAGAGTACTTCGGAAGCGCATGAGAACTGCAGAGCGCTACTGTTTCAACCTGAGCTCTAAATGCAAAGCACACGCCTGTTACATTGTTACATTGATTCAGCTGAGCTCTTTCATTATTTGTTCCGCGCAGGCAGCAGGATGACCGACCACAATTTCAACAAAATCCACATTTCAGATGTATCGAGTTACAACAGAACCTGTTGTCCACAGCGATAATAATACGAAATACATCAACTTCATAGGCTAAATAACTGTAGGCCTACAAGTACAAACAAACACTGTTAAAACGCGACGAATAGTGACTCACGTGTCAGTTCTATGAAAGGCTGTTTGCTTCCTCTCTCGTGACTTAAATCGTCTCCATGCATTTATAGCATAGCCTATAGTTCCTCAAATGTGTGGCTGTAAAAAGCAATGTTCAAGTTTATGCGGCTGAAGAGTAGCCTCTCTCAGGTAGCACCTCTGCTGCTAGTGGATGGTAAGATGGCATTTCAGATCTACTACACTAATTACTGTCACATGCGCGCTGATTGATCGGAGTCTTTGTGTGTGATCATACTATAGGCTATATAATCCTCGTTTGAAACCCTTTGTTGAAACAGATACGTATTTTAATCATTTGCATTGCCTGAATGGAAGAAGTTTCTTCTCGGATTATTTGAAGCATGCGTTTAATGTGGTTCAGTACATCCATTTTTTTGCATCTGTGTATAATTTGAAAATAAGTAGCCTATGCGTTCTTAAAAGGCCACTTCAGACTTGAATAAATGAATGAATGAACGAATACAAACCAATCGCTTGAAACAAGAAATAGATTAACTAATATTTATTATTAATATGATGAATGAAACTGTTATAATTCATCAGACTTATTGATGCCTCTAATAATATTTGGACTATGTTCTAGCCATGTTCAGCATATTCCTGTATATCACTCTTGCCTTCCGCAATTAGAAATATTTAAATACATAGTTTAGTTATACACAAAAACATTTACCCAACACACGCTAACATATGGCTGGATTAAATGTGAGCAAACAGTGAAACAGCTTACAGTAACAATCATTATATTCTAGCTCATGCTCGCTGCTACAAAGCTCACATTTCCAAAATACAGATTTTAATTTCTCATGTTGTTTTATGGCTTTGCTGCAGAGCCTCGAGCCACGCAAACAATAAGCTGACAGTTACCATTATGATCGCTTGTTAATTTTCTCTTAAAAATAAAATAAAATAATTGGTTGCACTTTATTTCGATAGTCCACTTTAGACATTCTAAGTAACTTTGCTACTACATGTCAACTAACTCTCATTAGAGCAGGAGAGCCGTGTATTTCTGACTGCTACTTTAAAGTCTGTTGATGTAACATCAATTTCCAATTTAATTTGCTGTTACTTTCAAAATTGTAATATTTTGTAATGTTTTGGTATCGCAGAAGAGCTCATATACCTGCCATTATACAAAGAAGATGAATGCACTGACAAAAGTGTACTGTTTAAAGATGTTGTTTCCCTCGATAAGGATTTGCAAACGCATTAAACGTCAACTCGCTTGAATTTGCACCTCAATGTTCACTAAAAGTATGGCAGCATATTTTTGCATTGACTGAGATCATGTGTGAAATTAGTGAAATGATAGCACTTCTTCACAACTGGTTTCCAAAGTCATCTATTGCCCATATGCCACATTACCCGTCTGCTGTTACATTGTTACATTGATTCAGCTGAGCTCTTTCATTATTTGTTCCGCGCAGGCAGCAGGATGACCGACCACAATTTCAACAAAATCCACATTTCAGATGTATCGAGTTACAACAGAACCTGTTGTCCACAGCGATAATAATACGAAATACATCAACTTCATAGGCTAAATAACTGTAGGCCTACAAGTACAAACAAACACTGTTAAAACGCGACGAATAGTGACTCACGTGTCAGTTCTATGAAAGGCTGTTTGCTTCCTCTCTCGTGACTTAAATCGTCTCCATGCATTTATAGCATAGCCTATAGTTCCTCAAATGTGTGGCTGTAAAAAGCAATGTTCAAGTTTATGCGGCTGAAGATGCGGCGCCGCAGCCTCTCTCAGGTAGCACCTCTGCTGCTAGTGGATGGTAAGATGGCATTTCAGATCTACTACACTAATTACTGTCACATGCGCGCTGATTGATCGGAGTCTTTGTGTGTGATCATACTATAGGCTATATAATCCTCGTTTGAAACCCTTTGTTGAAACAGATACGTATTTTAATCATTTGCATTGCCTGAATGGAAGAAGTTTCTTCTCGGATTATTTGAAGCATGCGTTTAATGTGGTTCAGTACATCCATTTTTTTGCATCTGTGTATAATTTGAAAATAAGTAGCCTATGCGTTCTTAAAAGGCCACTTCAGACTTGAATAAATGAATGAATGAACGAATACAAACCAATCGCTTGAAACAAGAAATAGATTAACTAATATTTATTATTAATATGATGAATGAAACTGTTATAATTCATCAGACTTATTGATGCCTCTAATAATATTTGGACTATGTTCTAGCCATGTTCAGCATATTCCTGTATATCACTCTTGCCTTCCGCAATTAGAAATATTTAAATACATAGTTTAGTTATACACAAAAACATTTACCCAACACACGCTAACATATGGCTGGATTAAATGTGAGCAAACAGTGAAACAGCTTACAGTAACAATCATTATATTCTAGCTCATGCTCGCTGCTACAAAGCTCACATTTCCAAAATACAGATTTTAATTTCTCATGTTGTTTTATGGCTTTGCTGCAGAGCCTCGAGCCACGCAAACAATAAGCTGACAGTTACCATTATGATCGCTTGTTAATTTTCTCTTAAAAATAAAATAAAATAATTGGTTGCACTTTATTTCGATAGTCCACTTTAGACATTCTAAGTAACTTTGCTACTACATGTCAACTAACTCTCATTAGAGCAGGAGAGCCGTGTATTTCTGACTGCTACTTTAAAGTCTGTTGATGTAACATCAATTTCCAATTTAATTTGCTGTTACTTTCAAAATTGTAATATTTTGTAATGTTTTGGTATCGCAGAAGAGCTCATATACCTGCCATTATACAAAGAAGATGAATGCACTGACAAAAGTGTACTGTTTAAAGATGTTGTTTCCCTCGATAAGGATTTGCAAACGCATTAAACGTCAACTCGCTTGAATTTGCACCTCAATGTTCACTAAAAGTATGGCAGCATATTTTTGCATTGACTGAGATCATGTGTGAAATTAGTGAAATGATAGCACTTCTTCACAACTGGTTTCCAAAGTCATCTATTGCCCATATGCCACATTACCCGTCTGCTCTGAAAGTGCGCTCTTTTAATTATGTAAGGCTTCAGCGCCTTACGTGCCCTGTTTATACATTTTCTGAGATTACTGTCTGACCTCCAAACGGAGTTTAGCACGAGACACTCTCCAGTGCTTCAGTTGCAGTCAGCGCAATATCTGGCGGGGTCTGTGAGATTCATTAAATCAGCTCTCAGCAGTCACTCGGTTATGTTTTCGGCAATTCTCTGATTTGTTTGCTAATATTGATTAGGTTAGTGCAACGCGCTTATAAGGTTATAACATAGTTGCAATTGAAGAACAGTGTACGGGCCGCAGAATTATTGAATTCGCACCGATGCCGCTACATTATGATCGCTTCACCTCAAGTCTGCGTTATTGTTTGATAAACGAGTAAATTATTCAAATTAATCCACGGTTACCACACCTCACGTGTTGTATTTCAATGCATTTCTCAAGTTTTGGTACTTAAAACGCTCTTGTGTGTACTTTATTACGTATCCAAGCATCATGTAGTTAGTACTTGAGCTATCGATAATTAGAGTGTGTGTGTGTGTGTGTGTGTGAGAGAGAGAGAGAGAGCGTGTGTGTGTGAGAGAGAGAGAGAGAGAGTGTGTGTGTGTGTGTGAGAGAGAGAGAGAGAGCGTGTGTGTGTGAGAGAGAGAGAGAGAGAGTGTGTGTGTGTGTGTGAGAGAGAGAGAGAGAGCGTGTGTGTGTGAGAGAGAGAGAGAGAGAGTGTGTGTGTGTGTGTGAGAGAGAGAGAGAGAGCGTGTGTGTGTGAGAGAGAGAGAGAGAGAGTGTGTGTGTGTGTGTGAGAGAGAGAGAGAGAGCGTGTGTGTGTGAGAGAGAGAGAGAGAGAGTGTGTGTGTGTGTGTGAGAGAGAGAGAGAGAGCGTGTGTGTGTGAGAGAGAGAGAGAGAGAGTGTGTGTGTGTGTGTGAGAGAGAGAGAGAGAGCGTGTGTGTGTGAGAGAGAGAGAGAGAGAGTGTGTGTGTGTGTGTGAGAGAGAGAGAGAGAGCGTGTGTGTGTGAGAGAGAGAGAGAGAGAGTGTGTGTGTGTGTGTGAGAGAGAGAGAGAGAGCGTGTGTGTGTGAGAGAGAGAGAGAGAGAGTGTGTGTGTGTGTGTGAGAGAGAGAGAGAGAGCGTGTGTGTGTGAGAGAGAGAGAGAGAGAGTGTGTGTGTGTGTGTGAGAGAGAGAGAGAGAGCGTGTGTGTGTGAGAGAGAGAGAGAGAGAGTGTGTGTGTGTGTGTGAGAGAGAGAGAGAGAGCGTGTGTGTGTGAGAGAGAGAGAGAGAGAGTGTGTGTGTGTGTGTGAGAGAGAGAGAGAGAGCGTGTGTGTGTGAGAGAGAGAGAGAGAGAGTGTGTGTGTGTGTGTGAGAGAGAGAGAGAGAGCGTGTGTGTGTGAGAGAGAGAGAGAGAGAGTGTGTGTGTGTGTGTGAGAGAGAGAGAGAGAGCGTGTGTGTGTGAGAGAGAGAGAGAGAGAGTGTGTGTGTGTGTGTGAGAGAGAGAGAGAGAGCGTGTGTGTGTGAGAGAGAGAGAGAGAGAGTGTGTGTGTGTGTGTGAGAGAGAGAGAGAGAGCGTGTGTGTGTGAGAGAGAGAGAGAGAGAGTGTGTGTGTGTGTGTGAGAGAGAGAGAGAGAGCGTGTGTGTGTGAGAGAGAGAGAGAGAGAGTGTGTGTGTGTGTGTGAGAGAGAGAGAGAGAGCGTGTGTGTGTGAGAGAGAGAGAGAGAGAGTGTGTGTGTGTGTGTGAGAGAGAGAGAGAGAGCGTGTGTGTGTGAGAGAGAGAGAGAGAGAGTGTGTGTGTGTGTGTGAGAGAGAGAGAGAGAGCGTGTGTGTGTGAGAGAGAGAGAGAGAGAGTGTGTGTGTGTGTGTGAGAGAGAGAGAGAGAGCGTGTGTGTGTGAGAGAGAGAGAGAGAGAGTGTGTGTGTGTGTGTGAGAGAGAGAGAGAGAGCGTGTGTGTGTGAGAGAGAGAGAGAGAGAGTGTGTGTGTGTGTGTGAGAGAGAGAGAGAGAGCGTGTGTGTGTGAGAGAGAGAGAGAGAGAGTGTGTGTGTGTGTGTGAGAGAGAGAGAGAGAGCGTGTGTGTGTGAGAGAGAGAGAGAGAGAGTGTGTGTGTGTGTGTGAGAGAGAGAGAGAGAGCGTGTGTGTGTGAGAGAGAGAGAGAGAGAGTGTGTGTGTGTGTGTGAGAGAGAGAGAGAGAGCGTGTGTGTGTGAGAGAGAGAGAGAGAGAGTGTGTGTGTGTGTGTGAGAGAGAGAGAGAGAGCGTGTGTGTGTGAGAGAGAGAGAGAGAGAGTGTGTGTGTGTGTGTGTGTGTGTGTTTGTGTGTGTGTGTGAGACTGAGCGTTATGCTTTCTATAAATAAAAGCTAATTTCAGTTTAAAAAGGTAATGGGCATTGTCATTTTTATCCCGCTGTTTGTCATATTTATTTGGGAAATGAAATAAACTCTTATGGAACTGTAAAGCAGTTATGAGCTTACTTTCATGCAAACATATTTTAAACAAAACAACTGTTTTCACAAAATCAGTGTAATCACCGTTAAATCTGCCTTTGATGATGCAGGTTATTGTCAGGATTGGAATCTATTTTTTGCTTAGTTCAGTGAAATTTGTTAACATCTACATAACAGGCCAGTCTGTGAAGACAGTCAGCAATGATATGCAATAGTAAATACAGTATAGTGTTTTCAGGAAACAGCTCCGTGATTCATACCTAAAGTGTTTTATGGAAAATCCAGCAGGCCTCCGTTCCTGCAG